GAAAAAAAAAAAAACTAATGGTATGCTTGGTTTGAAAAATACAAATAGAAAGATAAATAAATTTTTTAACCAATTATATTACAATATTTATCAATATTATAATTTGATTCATTAAAAAAAATCACCCCTACGCTCTCCTCTTCCTCTCCATTTTTCTTACATAACATACTGGGGAAAAGGCAATAGTAAACATTTAAGTTAATTTAAATTTGGAGATTTATTTTTAAATAATGTTACATTTAATTTTAAAGATTTTCTCATTAGGATTTTTGCTACTAGTGCCTAGTGTGGCTAGTGGAGGCAGTGGACCAGGCCACTAACTCCTCTCATGTATTTTGGATCCCTAACACACAATTAGACACTGCATAAAATAAAAAAGTTTGATTGTACAATTACGTACCTAATATTTTGTTGGCAATACCCGAGCGGATGAGATGGTATCCGTGAATGCCATTTTGTGATAGCAAGACTTGAGGTGGAGTGACAGAATAAAGGTACTCTGTCATCTCCTTGTGGCCTACAGCACATGCGCGACTAACCGGAATATAGCCTCTTTTATCTTCAATGGTAAGTAATCTGCTGTTCTTTTGGACTATGCATTTTGCCAAGTGTGTTCTTCCCAGTTTTGCAACAAAGGAAAGATCCGTCCCACCATGCCGGATTGTCTTTGTTTCCAGATCTGCTTCCGACATCATCTCTAACAGTTCCTCGGCGATCTTATCTTGCCCAACCTTGAGTGCAACATGAAGAGCAGTATAGCCAGCGTCTGATATTATTAATGTATTTAGTGGATAATTGTGCAAAACAAAAAACCGCTTTACGCCTTCCCAATCCCCTTTACAAATGCAGTTTTTCAACTCCACATAATGAGGCTTTTCAGTCATCTGATCAGCATCTTCCTCTGCAATGCATGCAAAAAACAATTAAGATATTAATCAAAAAATAAATACTTTAGTAAGGCAGTACGCAAGTTAATTAAAGAATCTGTTCAAGTCAATATACAATGAGGCACTCATTTCAGTCATCTCAATTTCTTCCCCTGCAAATAATTTAGATATTAATAAAATTATACTTCCATGAGTTCAGTTAGGAATTTTTTT